CCTGTGACGCAATATCTGAGGCATTCTCTGATTATTTAAATCGGCAAACAAGTTGCGAAGCCAGAAGTTGACCTTCAAAGCAAACAATCTGAGCTTAAGCAAGAGCAAGTCGATATCACGACTTGGGTAATAAATTCTCTAAGCGAGAGAGTTGCTTCTACCAAAACTTGCCCCCATATCGGTGGCATTACTCACATGTTTTTCTTAGGTTTTTGCTGATTTCCTTCTAAGAGATCATTAAAATGCAAACTGTTTCCTGTCGTCAGTTTGTCTGTGCTTACTAATAATCATCGAGTGGTGGTGGTGATTCATTCCCCCCAAAAGTTGCGCAAATTGGAAGAATATTTATACTCAGATTGCAAGATTTATTTATCTTTCGTCAGATGGCAAACAACAAACTATAATCATTGAGTTTCTTGTGTGGGCGACGAAAAGAATATAATGTTCTCTGCCTAGAATCAGTTTGATGCAATGTTTGGGGTTCTGTTTGGGCACAGTTTTCGAAATCGATGGCATGCGTCATATGTAACCCTCCATCTTCAGTCATTTGGAATTCCATGATTGGATCACTTGATCAATTAGCCGCGGATCAATACTACTTGATGCAGTGCGTGGGTTCCAATTATTCCCTTTAGCCAGCAAATGACCAGTGCCCCACCTCCTCAACTTCCTCTAGTTTTTATGCCCTCTGTGCACGGAATTGAAATTTTCCTATCAGTTCTTCAATATAATCGACTGATGAATACCCTAAGAAGTAGTTTTGAATTAGTAAACCAAAATAATTGGCCATGCAGAATATTTCATTACCTTTAACTCGATTAAATTTTATTATTACTTTCAAATTAACTACGAACAACCATGTACCATTATTAAATGCCTAAAAATAACTCGAAATTAGGCATGAAACCAATTATGAAGACCGTCAAGATGTTTTTCTATCAATTTTTAAGTACAACACCCCAACATCTGCGTACTCGAAATGCAATTAATAATAAGTGAAAGACCATGAGCAAACTCAAGCACGCAAGAAAAGAAAAGTCGGCTTTTCTTTTGGTTACACAATAGCCGGCAATATTCTTGGAATTAGCGAGGCAAAGTTCAGAGCAAGACCACCACCCTACCTCCCTCGCTAAACAAAACCATGGTGGTTGGTGGTTTGGGTGCCTTGGGTGGTGCTCCATAAATTAGAGCGCCTTGGCAATATGGCCAGTCGGACAGTTTTATGGCCACGGAACACACATCGAAAATGCAGTTTACAAGTGGTGGAAGAAGTCCCCTCTTCCTCCCATATTTCCAACCCCATTGTAAGAACCCCTTTTTGGATTCTTTCTTACGGGTTTTTGGGGGCAAAGTTTCTTAGTGTGTCAGTGGTGGGTGGTTTCGCTTTTGTTTGCCAGCTCTGTTGTTGCCTTTGTTGTTGTTGAAGGAGCGCCGATTAGAGGCTGATTAAGGCGTCATTAGGTGACCTATATTGGGGTTAATGATTGGAAACGAGGATGCATTACAGAATTAACAAAAATAGAAATTGATATAAAATGCGTGATTAATCGCGGAATAGTAGTAATAGATATTTCTTTAAAAACAGCTAAAAGTCCTATAAAGAACTACTGACCGCTTCAAGACCGATACCGAACCGTTTCGAAAAAATTGCATTTTGAATGAAAAAAGATATGAGAGGTCGAATAGAAGCTGAGTACGAGCTGCAACCCCATTCAGATCCAGGTCAGATCCATTCACTCATTTCCCCCTGCCCTCTAATATTACAAAACAACTTTCAAATATGCCGCCAAACGCACAGAAAGACGGGTGAAATTCGCACAGGGCTCATCTCAAATTGCATTTGTTTATCGGCAATAATAAAATGAGGCTGAATTCCCAGTCGTCCCACTGACAACTCCATATCATTTTACACCAGTCGCAGCAGCATACTCACGCCTCGTTTCATTTCACATCCATGTAAAAATCGCCCCGAGATCGAGAGCAAAAATAAAAAGAAATAGAAGTAGAAGTAGAAGGAAGCACTACAATCAAAACGAGAAACAGTGGAAATTATTTTTAAATGCAGAGCCGGACGATTGACCGAGAGACCGGGAGAGTCCGTCGGACAAGGGGCCGGGACTCCAAGTTGAATGAACCACACACCGGGCAGCGAAAATATATCGAACAGATAATTATAATGAGAGCAGATGGTCTCACGTCGGCTGTCTATCTATCTATATATTCCCCCCCCCAAAAAAAAGTGAAAAGGTGTCTGGCCAACACTCTGCCGGAATGGTAATTCATTTCTTGATAAACTCTCGAAATAAGAACAATAAACATTACCCTAGATTTATTTTTTAAAAGTGTTCTTAAGTTTATGAATATTATATTCGGTTAATCAAGGCCTTACATGTATTATTTTAATTGCATCTGAAATGTTTTAAAATCCAAATGATGGCAGGCAATTTAATGGTAACTCATAAAAATGTGTACTTGAAAAGCAAGAAACTGCATCTTAGGTTTTCCTTCAGCTTTCTTCTGTGAATCCCAATTGGTTTTTAAAAGTTTTCCAGAATGTGCAACCAAAATGGCCCCAAATTAAAAACTGAAAAATAACAAAAAGAAAAACAAAAACCAAAAAAAAAGGAAACTGTGCTAAGTAAGCAACAATAAATAATCTGCACAGCCAAACGAGTAGAATGAGATCATTTTTGGACTTCTCTCACGCTTTTTTCGGTTTCTTCACTCTGCTCTCTCTCTGTCTGTTTCTGGCTGTTGTATACATTTTGTTAACCAAATGTTTTAGCCTCGTAAAAATTGTTCAAATTTCCACCAACTGGAACAGCGGACATACAACAAAATACAGAAAAAAAATGGGGAAATGCAGGTCAGACAAATGAAGTAGAGGGACAAAACAATGGGCAAATAAACTGAAAGCGGAAATGGATTTAGATAAACTCAGTAAATTACAAAGAACGCAAATATCGTTATCAAAAGAAGTACAAAATGTACAAAATATACGACTAACATATATAAAAATATCAAATCCCAAAACTCATAAAGGGTAATCGTTCGGTTAGTTTCAAGGAGGTCAATATCGTTATTCTCACTTAGCCTTGCCGCTCAAATTGCTCAAATTGAAATTCAAATGCAGCACGGCAGCAAATTGTTTATGATACCCTCGCAACGGAATGGCTTTATGCACGAATTCAAATTTAAATATCAAGTTCTTTGGAATACTAAATATTTTCGAGGGGAATACTATTTAAGTTTTCAGACTGAAAACACTTAAAACCACAACCATTTTCGTTTTGAAATCAATGCGGTTGTCATTATGTTTCTATGTTGTTTTTAGATAACATCTGTAGCTACCAGTATCTTTCTCATACTAAACCTAAGTAGCTAACTATAATTTGTGGCTAATTATATTAGTAATCACTATCTAATCAGCCAATGAAAGCTAGTGAATTGTGTAAAAAAAAAATGACCAAAAATGGTCAAATAAAGTAACAAAAACTCAAGACCTGACTCTTGAGTGGAGTTTTATAAATAGCCCTCATTACGTTGCCGGAAGGGTGAAAGTACAACAAATAACATTACCACCCACATTCCCCCGCATTTTACAGGCAGCAGACAGCAGACAGTAGACATTAGATATTAGACATTAGACTCACCTGTTGCTAGATCGGCAAACGAAGAGTGACGTGTTTTATTTGCCACTTGATTTGCAACCGGTTCTCCTTTTCGGTCACTTCTATTTGCTTAATTTGTTTTATGTTTTTTCTGCTGGTTTATTCCACTACTCTAAAAAAAATGAACGTGTTTGTTAACAACTTTTCACAGAACTCTGATTGATGCACAGCGCAAAAAAAAAAACGACGAAGAAAAAAAAAGAATGCGAAACACGCGGAGGAATGAATGCTTATCTTATCTTATCAGGGGGCGGGTGGAAAAAAGGGGGAGTTGGGCAATTTCTCGCTATCAACTGATAACGCTGACATCGATATTTGCTCTGTTTATTGTTTGCCCTTGCCCTGCTGTTGTTTCTCTTAATATTCTGTAAGTAATAGTCATCAATTGTTTAGCATTTTGGAGCATTTCTAAAAATACTTGACTGACGTCAGAGCTTGACAAGGTGTGCGATCTTTTAGGTACACAGTACAAAAACTAAGTGAATGCAACATTAATAGGTAAATGTTGCAACTTCAAAGTACTGTTATCTTGATATTCTTTGTATTTATTTATCTAAATAGTAAACAAACAAATATGAATTAAACAAAATATATTCAAGTGACATAAGTTATTTTTCTCAGTGTAACTGAGTCATCTGATCGCTAAATCGGGCTCAGTGACGTCATTACGTCAAATGACAATAGAAGAATGAGATAGAGACAAAAGGGTTGCACTTGAAATGAAGCAAACAATAACAACAACAACAGCAACTGGTTCACCTTCAGCTGATCAGCGAATACTGCCATCTCCCTCCCGCACTTCCATTCAAATTTCAAACAATTATACTTTTTAGTTTTTTGTTCTACACTTGCAAAAACAAAAAGCAAAGCAACAAGCACTCGAAAAGATACAAAAAAAAGAAATGGGAAAACAACACAAGTCTGCGAACAAAGTCTATAGGTGTGTGTATATTGAATTACGCGCTATTTATATTAATAAATTGCACACTCGCTATATTTTCACCGTTAGTGCGCGCGTCACTTACGAAAAAGGGTGGGAATAGAGGAAGGGCGCGGGCAAAGGAAGAAGTAGCGCGCGTACACTTACGCCAAAATGCCGGCAAAAACAAAACGAAAACACGGGGATAATGGATAATACCCTTTCCAAAAGCAACTGCTTCGCCGTCCGTTTCGTTCAAACTTCGCTTTTCGACTGACCAGACTCGGCTTGCGGTTGCGCGGCCAAAAATACCAAAAGCCATGAGCAGTGTGACCGCTAGCGCGGCAAGGCGAATATCCCAGAAAGCTCACATTTGCAATGGTCACACAAAAACAGAAGCTTTCAAAATGTACACATAAATGAGCGCTTGAATATAAGTTACAAATAATTTAAAATTAGTAACAGATTATCTCCTCATATCTTTCAAAATAAATGATAGCTAAATGTGATGGAAGTGATGGAAATATAAACGTGAAGAAACGTGTGCTTAGCCCATAACTTGGGCCAAGTCGGCAATGCTGTCCACATAGAAATCCGGAATCCGGCTTGGATCTTTCTCCGCCATGAGCTGCTCCAGTTTACATCCGCCGCTGAGGACCAGTAGAGTTTGAAAGCCACACTGGCGGCCAAAGCTAATATCCTGGGTCAACATGTCACCTATCATGAGTACCCGCCTAGGCTGATCGATCTTATAGTGACGGACGAGAAGGTCGCCCAGTTGGCGACCTGGCTTGCCCAGTGTGATGACCTTTTTGCCACTGGCATCCATCAGCAGATTTGCAAAGGATCCCGGGCCCATGATCTTTAAATCCTTGGCCACAGGAAGCATGATATCGGAGGCACCTCCAATCAATAGACATTCCTGATTCCGGAGATACTGATGAGCTCGAGCCAACTTCGTGTAGCTCAGGTTGAAATCCACGTCAATAATCACGGCACGCACCTCCTGCTGGTCGAAAATGTGCTTCGCCAGACTAGCATAGTTGCTCTCAATGGATTCATTGGGCTGCGGAGATTAGATGAGTTTTAACTGACTGATTTTCGGTGATACTTACCCCGTCCAATAACTGGAATCCTGCCTCGCACAGCACTGTCTTAAAAGATGGGCTGGCAATGACATAGATAAGGCCCTGGAAATCAATGCCACGCAGATAGGCCACAATTGACTTTGCCGGATGCCAAATCTGCTCCGGTAGCACCTGCATCCCGATCTCGGCAAAGCGTTTTATGCGCTGCTCCTCCGTGAGCACACTGTTGTTGGTTACATAGGTCAACTGCTTGCCATTCTTTTCAAGAGCAGCATATCCTTCGGCGGAATTTGGAATCGAGTCCTTCATGGTCCACAGGACCCCATCTATGTCGCTAAACACTGAGTCGAAGGAGTCGGCAAAGTTACGCCTCTGATCCTCGCTCAACTGCAAAAGATGCTGTGGTCCGACCTAAAAGTATTTTGTTAGCCTTTTCCGAGATACATTTATCAAACAGATCTTAAAGTAATACATAGTTTAAATATGGGTTTTGATGAAATAGATCCATGCATATGTACATACACACGGCAGAAACGGCTTACCCTACTGCCCTCCATTGCAATCCGATCTCCAATCTGTGTGCTGGTTGAGAAAGTTGTTGTCGTAGACATGGTCGTCGACAAACTAACGTCGGTAAATGGCGACAGCAGAAATTAAAACGCAAATTGAAAAGTGTAGCCGAGAAACTATGGAATTGATACTGAGTCTGAATTAGCACCTAAACGCAAGGCGTCAATGATCCGAGATAGAACAGTCTCAACAGAAAGAAAAATCAGAGACAAGCAAAACGATTTCCTACTTATTGCTGATCTGCCTTTCCCTCTATAACCATATTACTCCAAATATTTTTTCTTTGTTCAGCTGATGTTTTCCCGCTTGTAGAGCGTCTTCATATTAATATCCAAGTTTAAGAATCCAGAAAATTCCTAGCCGCTGGAATACATTTCGCTCTCAATATACTCCATTATTTTCATGGGGTACACACATATTTGATTTCGTCCAAGGACACATAATGAAATCTGTGGCAGCAATTCTAAAAGACAAAAATGATAAAAAGTTTCCTGAAACATGTGGTCATGATGCACTTTGCCCAGCTCCAGAATGAAAGACAGCTCGACGTATTCGTTGTACGTCATTGTTGGTCCATCTTATTTGTCCTCGGCTACGCACTAATTCTATCAGGTCCACATTTCCCTGGACAGTATCCTGTATATCCAGCTCATCCAGCGACAGTGAAGCGTAAAGGATCAGTTCTGCATTGGAAAATGATTTCCTGGTCTGCTGACTGCTTTGTGAAGATATGATAAGTTTAGCGAGAAACAAAACTTAAAAGTACCAGCGCCGCAAAAAATAAATGGCGAACCGCGAAAATTAGAATCTAAAATGGCGTCAGGATTCATGTTGCCAGATCGTTGAAATTAACTTCCACTAGGGCTGGATAATCACATTCCACTTCAGTTCGAAAATATATTTAAAAAAAATTGTTGTTATGATGATTTTTTATTATTATAACTAAATCAATAAGAGGTATACCTCTATATTGACTTTAATATTGATTGGTGTTTCGATCGAAATACTCCAGCGACCTCCGACTATTTCCTACTGTTCTTATTTCGAGATCGTTGGCAGGGCCGAAGCTAACCGCATTTTGTTTTGTTGTTTCTCGCGTGATGCCAGCTAAAAGAACAAACATGTCCAGTGAGCCGCCGGAAAAACAAAATGACTCCACCTCTAAACCCATTACTCCGGATGAAAATGAGTTTATAGTGGAGAAGATCATTGGAAAGCGCTTCGCACGCGGACGACCACAGTATTTAATTAAATGGTTGGGCTTTCCGGAGAAGGATAATAGCTGGGAGCCCCTGGAGGGAGTGGCGCACTGCTCTACACTGCTGGCTGACTTCGAGGCAGAGCTCTTTAGCCGCAATCAGCAGGTGGCGTCGGGAAGCAACAAGAAGTCCAAAGGAAAGAAGCAGCGAAATGATTCAGGCAGCAAGAAGGCCCCTGAACTGTATCGGGATCTAGGAAACGGGATCGCAAATGTGACGAAGTCTCTTGAAAACTCGAAGGGTCGCGGTCGTGGACGCAAATCAAAGTTCAAGAATGATAAGACTCCAGCCGCACCACCATCGCCTTCCTTGGACACAGCGCCAGCGACACAAAAAGCAAGTGAACTTAGCGGCTCGGTGTCAAACAGTAAGGGGCAGTCGAAGAAGCCACTTGAAAACAAATTAGAATCACCACAATCGCTCATGAAACCACAAATTGGGGCAGTTAGCCTCAGCGAAGTGGACACGTCGTTCTCAGAGATGCAGCTCAACGACCAGGTCACAAAAGGTCGGGCTCTGTCTGAACAAAGCTCCAGTAGCGATTCAGATAGTGCATCTGGACAGGCCTGGAGAATGCCACCGTGCACCGAACCCTTTGGGGTGAGGCGCGGTCTGGAGCTGGAGAAGGTGCACCACAGCTTTAAGGTTCGCGATGTTGTTATATTGTTTGTCACTTGGAAGGATTGCTCGACGATGGATGCTGTGCCTTTGGACGACATCAAGCATGCTTACCCTATGCCAATAATTAAGTATTTTCAGTCTTTGAAGAGGTCGACTGAGTGAAGTGTTAAGTCTTAGACTCGTATATTAAATGTTATGCTAGAGGCTAAAGGTAAAATACAAATAAAAGCCAAAGAGCTTTCAGTGGAGAGGATCGCTGGAATGCGCTTCATGCGCAGGCGTTCACTGTTTTTAGATAAACGGATGGATCCTTACTACTGTTCGAACTCGAGGCTATAAGATTTGCGATAGTCCCTTATTAGTCCCTACCTGATCACAATGGAAATCATAGTCTGTAAGTCTGTAACTAAATAGGTAAACGGTTTTTCCACATCCATAAAAAAAAGCTTTTTATGGCGTGTGACCAGTCGTGATTTGCTCACAAGCTTCCAAGTTATTAGAATATTTTGGCGCCTTAAGTGAGTCCGCGTTAGAACAGCTACTTAGTTAGAATACAAACCGAGGCACGTTAACTAATAATAACAAGCACATGTATCAGAATTCATTCAAGCTGCTAAGGCTGGCAAAAAAAAAATAAGTCAAGTTCAATGAGCCAAGGCAAAGTGAATAAGTGAATTAAACGAGAGAACCGGTTGTTTTTGTTTTTATTGCTTTCATTTCGATTCTGGCTACTATCAGAAAAGCCCAAATGATGTGTCACAAATGTCAAGACCCATCTGGACAGATAATACAGCTTGGGATTTAAACAAAAGCCATCGTTTGTTTTTTTTTTATTATTATTTTTTAATTTCGGATGTGTCCAGAGTAAGAGCGCGTGTCTGATCTCAAATTTGCAAATAATAATTTAGCACTGATCGAAAATGTCACACCTTATAATTGAAAATATTAAACCGTATCGCAGTAATTACTATATAAATGTGCCTTGTATTAAATCACTACCAGTGAACAGCTTCTACTACAATTACGTTGAGTTCAATTCCCTTAAAAGTTTATTTATTTAACAAATAAATGTTATTTTAACAACTAATCGATTTTGGAATTATTTAAATAGGTTCTCTCAGTGTGTCGTTGGCTTTCGGCTAATTGGCACTTGGAAGTTGGAAGTTGCCCGGCTGGTTTCTGCTTTCCCATCTGGGATCGCCAATCGTCGTGTTGACCCCACTGCAGTCCGCATCTGGCGCTGATCAAGAACGGAGGATGAGCAGTCTGAGTCCCATCTCCGCATCCACCTGTGTGTATGTGCAACTCCTGGTGCTGCTGCCATTGCTGGCAGGTGAGAGAAACTTTATTAATGGGTCTATGGCGTAAAATCATAAAAAAGAAAGCTAAAACTCATGCATTCGGCTTAAAATATATGCTTTCCTAACAAATTAAATGTAATCCAAAACGCAATGTGATGTAAATTTATGTTACACGTAAGTTAGGTGAATACCCTAGACTAATCAGCTAAATTCGAACATTTTTGGGGGATTTTCTAGATCGTAGTGACTCATATATATTTCTGACCTAATGGTACTTTTTTCATCGTAGTCGAGGCCACACCAGCTATAAATCCGCAGTTGCAACGAGCTATCACCTTTCCCAAGGATTCCTTCGATGAGTGCTATCTTGACGATCCGCAAAGATCGAAGGGCAGTTGCCGGCGCATGGAGGACTGTCCCACCGCCCTGAAGGGATGGCTGGATAGACGTGAATCCCCTAAGACTTGCTATTTTGTAAGGTTCGATCATTTTGTGTGCTGCAAACCGGAAGAGCTCCATCCGAAGATTACCACCGAAGCGCCACCCACACTGCCGACAACACGGAATCCCTTTAAAGCACCCCTGGTTACAAGATCTAGTTTGCAGGGTAAATAATCCAGAAACAGAAAAAGCAAAAATTACTAATTGCCTAAAGTTTCCGAATATTCCAACTTATAAACATAACTTAAGGCCTGTCAGTTGATAAATTGTTTCTTGTTTCAAATGTCACAAGACAATAAACTTTAATCGTTTGCTTAAGAAAACACTACACATATCTTCAGATTACGACTGTTTTAAACAGGTTTAAATGTTGCCTTTATGATTATCCCACTTTTTTTGCTTTGGCGTGATGTAATCCATGACTAATGAGGGTTTCCCCTTTCATTATTTGCAGCCTGCTACGACTATAACAACGTTAAGAAGACCAACGAGAATGACCTGACCTTCGTGGTATCGGTTGTGGGCGGGATGCCCACCCGTCCACGGGAATTCCCATTCATGGCAGCACTCGGTTGGCGCTCAAACTTTGATCAGCGGATCTATTATCGGTGCGGCGGCGCCCTGATCGCCAACAACTTTGTTTTGACGGCAGCTCACTGTGTCGACTTGGGCGGGTAAGCTGGCACTTAAATGAGCTGGGATAGCAATCTTGCTTTTTCGCTTTGTTTGGGTTTTTTTTTTCCTGTTTGTTGTTATAATGGAATCAGAGTCCGTGGCGGGAACTCAGTGATAGTTTCTTTAGATTAGAAAGCTTAGAATTTTAAAAAATATCTAAATTGAACACCCGTCCAGCCATCTTATTTGACATTATACGATTAGTGATCCTAAGAAACGTTGAGTAGCTTACTTATAATGTCTTATTTTTCTTCAGTGAACCTCCCAGCCAAGTTCGACTCGGTGGCGATAATTTAACCCTGGTCGAGGGCGAAGATATTTCTATCCGCCGTATTATTGTCCATCCGGAATACAGTGCCAGTACCGCCTACAATGATATTGCGCTGCTGGAGCTGGAAACTGCGGCCAAGCCGGAACTAAAACCCACCTGCATTTGGACGGAGAAGGAGCTGGCCAATTCGTTGGTCACGGCCATTGGATACGGACAGACCAGCTTCGCCGGTCTCTCCTCTGCCCAGTTACTAAAGGTGCCGCTGCTGAGCGTGAGCAACGGGGAATGTCAGGTTCACTACCAGGTGGATCAATTGGCCCAAGGATTGCTGGGAACTCAGATGTGTGCCGGAGATATATCCGGCGAGAAAGATACCTGCCAGGGCGACTCTGGGGGACCGCTACTCATGCAAGAGGGACCACTGAGTTACATAGTGGGCATCACATCGCTGGGACAAGGATGCGCTAGTGGACCGCCATCAGTGTACACCAGGGTCTCCAGCTTTGTCGATTGGATTGAGGGAATTGTGTGGCCAGCGCAGCAGGAATCTATCTCCTCGAATCCCAAAGAGATAACGAGTCCTGAATTCGATCTTAGGGCAATGGTCTAAGTTTTTTTTTTTACTTTAGGATGATAAGAAAAATCAGTTAAAATAGAAATATTGCAAAATTTAAGTTAATCAATATTTTGATTTTTAGAAAGGTTCAGCAAACTAAGTTTAAAAATCGCTTATCGTATACACTTGCTAGCCTGTCAATAATATAGATTTAAACAAACAAATATTTATACCAGCTTAAAGACTCCTGGAATCATTTTTTCTCAGTATCCAGTTTCATTGATTGATCGAATTTCTTATATAGAATAATCGGCTGATTCAGCTGCTTTCTATTGAATGAACAGCTGTCCGAAATGGAGACACCATTGAGTTGGGGGACATATAAGTGTCCACAACTACGGACGCCGGATAATTGAGCTCTGTACGCTTACCGTAGAGGATGTTCCACACAATCACGCTCCTGCTCATTCTGGCAAGTGCCTGGACCTCGTCGTTGGCTTATCTACCAGATGTAAATATTTTTACCAACTACCGCACCGAAGTATATAATGGTAAGTAGTTTTTATGCAATTTATTTTGCATTGTGCTAGATTTGATATTTCACTATCTAATATAATACCCTGCTTAAAATTATCATCATATATCGTAGTAATTTTTATGAATTTCAGGCATTCCCTCCGAGATTGACACCACGCCTTTCGTACGGATTGGTGACAACTACTACTATATCGAACCCATGAACAAGGTCAACTGGTTTCAAGCGGCAGGCGCTTGCCGCATGATGAACGCCCATTTGGCTTCCATTGAGGACAAACCAGAAATGGAAGCGCTGATCAAGTACATGAAGGCTAAGGGTTTTAAGAACAACGACTACTTTTGGATATCGGGCAATGACCTGGGCACCGAAGGCGCCTTTTATTGGATGTCCAACGGGCGACCGATGACATATGCCCCGTGGAATGGGCCTAAGCAAATGCCGGACAATTACGGCGGAAACGAGAACTGTGTGCACATGTTCGCCACCCGGGAAATGATCAACGATGCCAACTGCAAAATCCAGATGCTATATGTGTGTGAGGCGACAGAGCCCAAAACTTTCAAGTTTACCTACATTAAATGGTAGTTTTCTTATCGCCAGGTGTTAATCTATTACTAAATAAAAGCTTGTTAAAAATAAGTAAAGAAATTGTAAAGCTCGTTGAGCTCATAATTAAATTTTTTGTTAAATTGTGGTATTCACACCTGAATGTAATATAAGTAAGTACTAAAATAATAGCGAATTTTGACTAATTAACAATTATGCAAAATTTAAAGATTTTTGCGAAACTGGTTAAAACTTTTGAGGAAAAGTCTTGTCGGCAAATGTTAGGAATTCCGATGTTGCGGCGTGCAAATGCATCAGGAAAACAAAACCTAGAATATGGCTACAAACTATGACATTCAATACGAAGCGCAAAACCAGGCTTTAAATTTTTTGTAAGACAATTCCTGGTTTTTTAAAGTATGTCATACTCTTGGGCTGACTTTTGAAACATTGGCCTTAATACACAAATAGATGGCGCTTTATCTGGAATGAATACCATTTCTATTACGAGAATGTACGCTTCGGATTTTTAAGTATAACATACTCTTGGGCTGTCATTTTAAAAATTCCCATGAAGATAATAACACATAGATGGAGCTATAGTAATCAATTTTATCGCGTGTACTAAAGCGCCATCTGGTCACGGTACCACTAACTAGCATTTCTGTTCGCCTGGTATTTAGTTTTGCCACATCCCCCACCGAGGCTCAAATTTGAAATTTTACGCAGTCATTTTGGTTGGTTTTCGATTTTTTACCAGGCGAACAGAAACCGTAGCAGGCTGCTTTTTTTGTTTTCAGCTGCCACCTGTCCACCTACTAACGATTATGATCTCCTGCTATTTTTCACAAAATCGACCAAATTGGTCGCTGAAAAGTCATTTTTCCTCGTCAAATTGGCAATTTTGGGAGTTCAGATACCAGGCGAACAGAAACTGCAGCAAGCAGCTTCTGTTTTCTACGAGATTTAACTTTTTCAAGATGGCTGCCACTGGTAGCCATCATTTTTATTAGAAACAACCGTTGCTTTGCAACCAAAACATGAAGTAGAGATGAGCAACCACGTTGTTTACCATATCGTATCACGAGTTTGGCACGACAATCACGAAATAATATTAAAGTCCCATGTAATTTATTCGATCGTGTCGAAAAACAGTACTCACGTGGGCATCCCTAAGTGGAGCTCATAAATTTCAAGATGGCTGCCATGCAGACCAAAACATAAACAAGAGATGGGCCACCACGTTGATTTTTGTGTCGTGTCACGAGCTTAGCACGAGAGGCACGAAATATTATTAAGGTCACATGTAATTTCTTCGGTCGTGTCGAAAAACAGTGCTCACGTGGCCATCCCTACGTGGAGCTCATAAATTTAGCGATTTCCACCTACTACTCAATTCTGTTCGCCTGGTATTTTAAAGGCATCAGCTAGCCAATTTGCGTTGAAACTTTGATCAGAAAATAATTTTTTCTCAGTCAAATTGGTAATTTTGGGAGTTCAGATACCAGGCGAACAGAAACCACAGCAAGCAAATTCTCAAAAATAAGCTAATAGGCAATACACTTGCTACGTGTTTATGATCTCCTGGTATTTTTCACAAAATCGCCCGAATTCGTTCAAATGTGGCACAAATCTGGTTGAAATCGGTGCATTTTTGGAGTTCAGCTACCAGGCGAACAGAAATCACAGCAAGCAAAATCTGTTTACTTTGAAAAAGCACATGTAACTGTACTTTTTGTAATGGCTGCCATTTGCAGCTGCCATTTTGAAACCCAACCAAAACAAAACATAAGCAAGAGATGGTATACCACGTTGTTTTCTGTGTCGTGTCACGACTTAAGCACGAGAGGCACGAAATAATATTTAAGTCCCATGTAATTTATTCGGTCGTGTCGAAAAACAGTACTAAGGAGGCCGTCCCTAAGTGGAGCTTATAAATTTCAAGATGGCTGCCATTGCAGACCAAAACATAAACAAGAGATGGGCAACCACGTTGATTTTTGTGTCGTCTCACGAGTTTAGCACGATAATCACGAAATATTATTAAGGTCCCATGTAATTTCTTCGGTCGTGTTGAAAAGCAGTGCTCACGTGGCCATCCCTACGTGGAGCTCATAAATTTAGCGATTTCCACCTACTACTCAATTCTGTTCGCCTGGTATTTTAAAGGCATCAGCTAGCCAAAATGCGTTGAAACTTTGATCAGAAAATAATTTTTTCTCAGTCAAATTGGTAAGTTTGGGAGTTCAGATACCAGGCGAACAGAAACCGCAGCAAGCAGCTACTGTTTTATGTGTGCTTTGTTTTTTTCAAGATGGCTGCCTTTTTAAGATGGTTGCCATTGCAGACCAAAACATAAACAAAAGATGAGCAACCACGTTGTTTTCTGTATCGTCTCACGAGTTTAGCACGAAGGGCATGAAAAAACAATTAAATCCTATGTATTTCATTCGATAGTGTCGAATACCACTGCTCACATGGCCATCCCTAAGCGTCACTCATGTCTGGATGGAAACCGTTAGTCTGGAGCCCAAAACGTAAACAAGAGATGAGCAACCACGTTGTTTTCTGTGCCGTCTCACGAGTTTAGCACGATAGTCACGAAATATTATTAAGTTCCCATGTAATTTATTTGATCGTGTCGAATACCACTGCTCACATGGCCATCCCTAAGTGGAGCTCATAAAATAGCGATTTCCACCTACTACTCGATTCTGTTCGCCTGGTATTTTAGAGGCATCAGCTAGCCAAAATTTGTTGATATTTTGATCAAAAAAATAATTTTTCCTCGTCAAATTGGCAATTTTGAGAGTTCAGATACCAGGCGAACAGAAAATGTAGCAGGCAACTTTTCTTTCTGGAGGACTAAGTTCTTATTTCAAGATGGCTGTCATTTTAAGATGGTTGCCATTGCAGACCAAAACATAAACAAGAGATGAGCAACCACCTTGATTTCTGTGTCGTCTCACGAGTTTAGCACGAAAGGCACGAAAAAGCAATTAAATCCTATGTATTTCATTCATTTAGTATTTTGACCATTATTGACTTAGTTGTGGAAAAATACACACAGCATGTAGTTTTTTGCCGGCTTTTATTTGTCGCATCGTTTTGCTTATCGCTTCCGTTTTTCTCTTTTAGCTAATTATACAATCAGTTAGATTTACGATTTTTGCATACTAAATTGTTACGATTCCGATTCTTACACAGCTATTGAACTCTATCATATACATGTATCGATTCATTTGATTCACTTGAATTGAATTTAGTTGCGTTAAATGTAGTTAATTAAATTTAATTTAATTTATTAATACCCACTAATATCGCGACGACAAAAAAATGTTTGTTTTTTATTTTCGAGTATATGCATGTGTATATATAACAACGGCACACAGGACATATGCGAATTATGGAAGGACAAGGAAGGGGCAAATATATTATGTATGTAGTTCCGGAATGGAATAAAAAATCGAAACGATAATGCAAACGCAAATAAAACAAAGGACCATGGACAAAGGGCGAAGGACAAGGGTCGTGGCGCTTGGAATCCAGTAAAGAAATGAGTTAATTTTACAGTTAGTTCATCAGCTTACTTTCTAGGCTAGGCGAACAGTGATCGATATTGAAAAATCTACGACATAACCTCAACATTCATAGCGATTATGCGTGTGTAAATGGTGTAATTGTGTTTCTGTGTTTGTGTGTGGGAGTGCTTACATATGCTCTGGTACACAGTTATGTAGTCTAAGTAGTTGTCGATTTACGATTTACCATTTACGAGTCTTACGTGGCTAAAACGCTAATTCTAAACATTTGTTTGTCCACATTAATCCATAAGTTATGCATATAAATATTGTATATTTATCAATTAGTTAATATTAGTAACTACATACATATAATTCATATAAATATTCAACAGACGAGTGCATAAATTTAATAATTCTTATACGTTATTCTCTCTCTTTTTATCTCATTTTCACTTACTACTCCTTGCCTTCAGCTTCATCTTCTTTTTCTATGCTAATTTACCGTTAAGTGTCCCTCTCTGTAAGTGTTTATGCGCCTGTTTTGTGTGGTTGTGTGTTTGTGATGTGAGTGAGAAAGTGTGTGTAAGGTGGGCTTCAAAGCTCAGCTGCAAGCTTGTAGGAGTCATCGTGCGAAAGGGAGAGAGCACCTCCGGCCTTTGCCAGCACTGGACATCACTTTATTAACACTAGGCAACATAAAAGAAAGATTTCAGTATCTAACCTCTTTGTTTTCAGAATGAGGATCTTAAATGAAAAAAAACGAGTTCTTTATGAAATAATTCGGGTAACTTGAACTATTTAGTACCTGCGCTTTTCACTTTTTCTTACTTATGTTAAGATTTTCAGTTTAAATTTCGCCAAATAACTATTTTACTGGTTTTCAACCATTTCATGTTCAATATTTCATTTCATTAAATGGCATGAACTCCTAGCTCATGATTCATGATTCACAAAGAAAATTAATGTTGCAACTTTTTTACACAAGTATTTTAAAAAGGAAATATAATAACAAAAGTGAAAATCCAAAACGAATTGATATATGTAAACAGTATTTTTAAAATATGAAAATTAAATCTACAATATTTTGTACATGTTGTTTACAAAACTGCTTGATAACGTACTAGAATTGTGTTTAAAAAATGCTATCACACCCAACAAATTAATTCATTGTTAAAATATTGCAACATGATTTGAGGAGCATTTAAAAGCCTCGTATTTTTTTTGTCATTTACGATCTCATGTTTTAAAGAAGAGGAAGTAATTTCAAATAAAAAAATATGAATGTTGCTGCCTAGTATTACAGTTTCGAAATTCTATATTCCAAGACTCGCGTACAAAAACGATTGACGAAAACATATGTTCATAGACTATTTAAGTGACTTTACAATTAGTTCAGTTTTTGTTTCATGTTTGGTATTTTTGCTTTTGTTTTGCTTTCTTTTGTTTTTTCTCTTACAAATGGAAAGAAGAACAGCCTAAAATGTTATACATGTACAAAGTCTAAATGTTCTTTTCTACTCTTCTGCTAGCTCCTTTTCGACGTGTGTTTTTAAAACCTTTCTCAAAATGGCAGTGCGTTTAGAAGTGGGTGTGGTGGGAGGGGTTTTTCGAGGTGTCATAGGGGAGGCGATAACTAAGTATATTTACAGAGCGTTGTGAACTATACAAACAAATGGCAGGAATCTATGCAAAATGCATATCATTGCATAATCATAATAGTCAATTAATTGTAAATAAGTTTAAACAAAAGATGCGTTTCTTGTTGTAGGTTTGTTTGTTTTTTTTTTGTTTTTGTTTCTTTAGTTTTTTTTTGTTTTTGTTTTAAAACACAATTGCCTTGGGTCTAGGCAATGTGTTCGTACAATTTTAGTTTGCTCTCGATTCTCTAAGCATAGTTATAAAAACTAATAATAAGCATCATAATCATATTCGTAATAATCATAATCATAAAAACATTTACATTTCAGGTATAATATTAACTTGAAAAAAATTAAAAAAAAAACTTTATTGGGAGTTAAGGGAAAAGGAAAGATGGCGCTTTTTGTTTTTGGGAAATGGGATTTTTAGCTTTCGATTATGTTCCTTTTTTTTTACATATTGCGCGCAAAATCACTTAGTAATAGTAGCGTAAGAATTGCGCACAGGATTTCGGTTTTTTGTTCTTTTTTTTTTCTTTTTGAAGAGATGGGGTGGTGGGAGCTGGATATGGGGTATTAGTAGTTTACAAGACATTTGCTTAAAATGTATAGCATTTCCAAAACTACAAGGTATTTTACATTTTGAATGCGAGTGATCATGGGTTAAAAGATGGATGGGAAAATGGAACTCTATAGAGATTGTGAAACATATGTGTTGCGGAACCTTAAATATGTGTTAGCAGCTAATTTCATACTTCAGTTTATCGCTCTTTTAAACCATTACAATCTAATTATGTGTTTACAATTATATTTATACCGTTTTTTCTTAATATATATCTATATATATATGTATGTATATATATATATATATATTCCTTTTTTTTTTTTCTTTCATTTTTATTTTAGAAACAAAATGAAATACATTTAGCGAAATTAGAGGCAAAATTCCTAATATTAAGCTTAGTAGGTCTTCGTCGCTCTTCTAGTTTAAGCGAGACAGCAATGTTAAATGAAAGTCTAACCATTAGTTAATTGGGATTGTGAAGGAGTTAGGAACGGATGGAGGAGTTGGAGTCAGGAATATTAATTAGAAAAATGCAGCATAGTTTGCAGTTAACCTGAGAAAGAAATATATATAATCCATAAATATTGCTAGCTCGTAACTATCTCTTTCTCTCTCTCTCTCTCTCACACACATTCACAATCTTTTTCTTTACCCTAATCCTATCGCTCATCTCGCTCGTTTTGCTGCTGATCCTGCCCAGATCTTGACGAACTGGAGCTGCTGCTGGCAATAGATGACTCTGAGGATATGGAAATGATTGATATAGCCGACGAGGAGTTCACTAACGTGCCTCGCAGCGGCGGCAGTCTGTTGTTATTGCTGCCGCTACTGCTACTACTGTTGCTGCTGTTGCTGCTGCTGTTCGATGCATTGCCGGCACTTATGGTAGGCGATCCGCCCACCGATTTCTGATACCGATTGCCGGCGCCAAGGCGCAGATGCTGCGGCCGCTGCTGGTGATGTTGTTGCTGGTGGTGATGCTGTTGTCGATGACTATGGTTGCTATGGCTGTGACTGTGGTGGTGTTGATGATAGTTGTTGGAAGAGGAGTTGGAGTTGGACTTGCTCAGTTGTTGCTGCATCGGCGGTGGCACATAGTACTGCTGGTGGTAGTACCCGCTGGAATTATGATTACCCCGTTGGTTGTAGTTGCGTCCACCACTGCCGTCTCCGCCTGCCCTGCCGGAACCTCCGCCACCTCCGGTGGAGCCACTGCCTCCGGATGTCTCATGGTGCTGCTGCTGTTGCTGTTGCTGCTGATCGTCCAGCTCTGGGTCCATCTCTTGGGCAGCGATGTGGGCGTTTTCCGGCTGTTTTAGTGGTGAAGAGGTTATACATGTGTGCTTGCTGCTGCTGTTGCTTCTATTCATGCTGGCTGCAGTTGCTCCCAAGGTCTTTAGATGAAATTTTGTTTGGGTTTTCGGTTTCAGATACAACCGGGACTCAACTGCGGCCAGCATGGGAGCATAGCCGACCACCTGATGCCGTGGCATAAGGCAGCCGGCCACCACCAATCATCATGTGTCAAGGCGGGGGATTGTGTGCATTACCGACGAGCCTGTTGATGAACTGCTGTTTCCGTTTCCGCTTCCGCTACCGTTGCCGTTTCCATTTCCATTACCGCTCCAACTGCTAGTCGAGGGCATGCCCACGGCGAGCACTGGCAACGGCATAGTTATGGAGCTTAGACTATTCGGTGGCGACAGCGTTATATCGATGACCTCCTGAGCACCCGATGTCGTCTCGACCACATCGCAGTCTTTACTGTCCTCGGAGTCATCTCCCGATGAGGTGCTGCCACGACGGTGACGCGACTGCGATTGGTTCTGTGACTGTTGTTGCGCGTGGGAATGGGCTGACGCATTCTGTTGTTGCTGCTGCTGTTGTTGGGCTCCACCGGCTGACACGCCCATGCCCACCACCGCTACCGTTGTCGTCGTCGTCGCAGCAGATGCGGCGGTACCGGTCACATACGGCTGGCCCAAATGGCCACCAGGATGCGCATGGCCTAGACTATGGCTGTGCGCATGGCTATGCCCGTGAGGAGTTGGCACCTGTACCGGATGGTGGTACAGTTGCTGGACAACGGTGCCCGAGGGCATGATCACATATTTGGGTGCCCCATTGGAGGTGGCGAAAGCAGTGGGAGCGGCAGTGGGCAGCGGCGATATGCGGTCCACCACCACCAGATGCTCGAAGTTCTCGCGGATCCATTCGCGATAGTCGATTACGTCGTCGGTGATGTGGATGATCCGACCTGTGTTGGGAAACAAAGCAAAACCATTACAAATCCAGAGCAATCGACGCGCTCGTGTATATTAAACTATATAGCTGTTATCACCCATGCTGTTTAAATGCATCAGCAGTAAATTTTGCTTAGCTTTTTACATTCTTAATTGTTTAACCTATTTGCAGCCACCTTAAATATACATATAGTGCTCGTATATTTTCTAATTTCTCGCAACTAAATAAAAAGTACAAAAATAATTATTTTATATACATATGTACAATATTTAAGAGAGTCCCTAAGCTTTAAATTACCAACTTCTTTAAGTCTAAACATATAATTTCTCTAATTAGTCTATCAACTAAAGCTCGGTAACTTTTTATCCCTTTCGATAAACAACAGATGGTTGGTGCTTCACTTACCTAGTATAGAGTTAACGCGCGGATCGATGCCAAGGAGATTTAGTGGACTAACGGCAAGGGCGAGGACGCGGTAGGCGCACTTGAACGCCTGCTGTACCTGGAAGACGCCGTAGCTACTCCTTCCGATATCGTTGCCCGGCGTCAGTGGATCTTCGATGCACAGTAGCGACGGACGATGTCCATCGACCATGTCACGCTGCAGCTCATCCTTGGGCATGTAGCGACCACCATTCTTAATAGAGATGCCGATCTTCATGTAGTTGAAACGACGACCATAAAGCTCAAAAAACTCAAGGAGAAGAACACCGAGATTGGCTGTATCATGGTAAATACCACGCGGATGCATCTGCAGGAAGCTGATGCACATGAGGATCAGCGAGTAGGAGGAGATGCCGCCCGTGAACACCTCGTTGAGATCGCGGAGCAGTAGGAACTGCTTGAGCACCAGCACCAGTTTCCCCAGTACTGGATAGTCTCGCTTAAATTTCTTAATTAGCTCCGCCGACTGAACGCCGCTCTGCATGTTGAACGATATGTCTACCTTCACCTGCGTCTCCCGGTCCGTCAGCTTTATAATAGGCACAGATGCCTTGTCCAGAACACGCACCGTGCAAGCCTCGGCGATGCCACGGCTCACTAGCTCGTATTCTAAAGTGCGCAGCGGCAGCTTTTCCCACAAACCTGAAGCAACAAAGAAGGAATAGTATGAGATAGTGTTTATAATTTAAAACAAAATAAATAAAACTTTTCCCTTAACTTACCTAGCACAACGAGATCAATGTCGGAGGTGGGCAAAAAGAGGCCGGTGCGGAAGGAGCCAAAGATCTCGACCACCGCTTGTGGCCAGATGGAATGGACAACAGCCTCGATGCGCTTGACCACCTCGTTACGAATGGCGTGTTCGCAGGGCGTCGGCAGGACGTACTGATAGAAATGCTCGATCTCCTCGTGTAGCCCGATGACACCTTCGCCATATGGATAGTCAGGCTTGCGCCAAGGTTCGCCTTTGTATTTTGCGATCATCTCCATGTGGTTATTCATATAGTAATGGGCACCGCCAGCCTTGTTTTCTGGGCGTTTCTTTCGCGATGGATTGTAGTAGATGCTGTTCGTGCGGCTGGCTGGCGTTGTCGTTGTTTGTGGCGGGTTGTTGCTGGTGTCGCTCATACTGGTGGCTGGACCAGTCGTGGTCGCAGCTGTGGTGGCCGCTGTTGTCGCCGGACTATTAGTACCGGTTCCTCCTGCTCCTGTTCCTGAACCGTTGCCTCCTGTTCCGGGTCCGTTGGTTGTGTTACTGTTGGCGGGAGAGGTATTGTCCCGATTGGTAGAGGAATCAGCTGACGAGCTGGTTACTATGCTGCTGCTGTTATTGTTATTGTTGTTGGTGCCGCTGGTGATGGTGGTGGTGGTGGTATTGCTGCTGTGGCGCTGCGTGGTTCCGTTGATCTGCTGATGCAGCAGGATCTCCTGAGAATCCGCTTTGAAGTTCAGTACCCGATTTAATGAGCTGTAGGGTCGCGATAAGTATAATTTGCCCGTTGAATTGTTACCAATATTATTAGAGGAGTTACTGCTGCTACTGTTGTTGTTACCACTACTATTATTGTTGCCGCTGCTGCTAATGCCGTTGGTCGTCGTTGCCTGCTGTAGCTGTTGATCAAGCAATGCGCCCATCTCCTGGGCATTCGTCTCCCAAATCTTTAACCATGTGCGCAGCGATGGTCCCTCCTGTTCCTTCTGAAACCAGCCAACAAATGGATCCATTCAAGACGGTTTCACACGGCTGTTGGCTGGACGGGAAACGAGGGGGGCGCGTCTCTCCTTTGTCTGTCTTTCTATGTCCTCTGCGTCCTTGTGTTATATATATGAATATATATTTTATATAGATGTGGCTCTATATAATTGATCTGTGTTCCACAGGGGAAGTGGGGTTATCTTCGCCTTTTGTTGCTGCGGCTTTACCTCTTTTGTTTCTCAGCATTCACGAGCTGCAACAGATGTAGGAAAAAATACAATTAATTAGGTTTTTAAGCTTAAATGCTTTCCCTTGCTGCCTGTTAGACGGCCGAACAAACTATAAATGTCATATTTACAATAGCCTTTTTTAGTCAACTGTCAGTGAAGGGCTTTGACTCGCATGCATCTATTTGTTGTAAAGATTACTTTAAAAAATGACATTTCACGCCAAGTTTTTAAACACTTAAAAGTTTTGTTTAACAATGAATTTTAGTTATCGGAGTTCAATTAGCATGTCAATATTATGTACTGATGATGAGATTATACCAATCAGGACTTAGGGATGTCGGTACTTTATCTTTCCGCATGTTTTTATTAAGTATGGCTTTTAGAACTCCTTCAGGGGGATCGAATTCTATACTTTCTTCAGAATGCTCAACGAACTAAATATATATATATTCAAATAGATATATAGATATAGAAATATACTTCTAAGTTTTAGTAAATCAACTTTTTTGTGTACACGGTCACTCGAAAAGATATATTAACTTCAACACCTAATGGGATATATTTATTTAATGTTATTGCTTACAATAATGTTATTGTTTATGGTAATCAAATGAAAAGATCAATAAAAACACGACTTGTAATTGGATAAATCCGTTGAATAGGCCAACCGACTGATACCGATACCAAAATACTGATATCGATATGTAGGTTAAACTCGGGGAGACAAATAAACAATGAGAGTGGGGAGTGAAAGAGGGGGAATATAACAATTTATAGTAATAGTAGTTGTGTTTGCTGTTTTTTGGCCTGCAACTCTCCAAAAAGGCGTTTGCATGCATTTCGCTCGAATGGAAAGCGGAAAAATGGCAAACTATTGCAAATTATGCGCTCTTTTTCTACAAATAGAAATACCCCGCTCTCTCCTACCTCACTCTCTTTTCCCCTTTTCTTTCTCTCTCTCCCCTTTTTGCATCCAATTGCAGCTGAAGCGTTTAAAGGCGCCAGGCGAAAATTGTTTTTCAGAGCGCAAAAAAAAGTTACACACACATACACATAGGAGAAAAGAAAAACCAAAATGGGCCACAACAAAAAGGTTTTTCTCACAATCGAAAAGCAAATAAAAAAAAAACGCTCACGAGACTCCGAGGCCCGCAAATAAATGACTTCCAAAGTGATATTATATCTCGCACCAATACTCTGACAGCTACTCTAGTTTTGTGCAGTGTGCGTGTGCATATGTGGTTGTGTGCAAGGGCGTACAGGTGGCTGTAGTATGGGGGTGGAAGTGGGAGCGGGACAGCACACATGCACATGTACCGAAAGGCGGCTTCGATTATGCAAAAAAAAAGGTAGAAATCAAAAAAATAAAATATACAGCCAGATCTAAGCAATGTCAAAGCACCGCGAAACTAATACCTACACATAAGTACGGCCACACAAATATCTACGTGTTTTACCAGATTTTAATTTGTTTTCTGAATTTTCCTTAAAAGTAAATGTTTCATTTGACAGAGGAAAACTCCCGTACACATATATATATCTATATATATATATATACAAAGCACAGGCCAGCGCACATGTACTTATACGTTTTAGGCAAATTAACACTTTCTTAATGCTGGTCAGTGTTGGTTAACGATTTAAAATGAGCGCTAAAGAGAGAGGTTGCGAGGTGATAATGAAAAAAGAAGAAAAAAAAGAGAGCGAGAGATTTATTGTTTTAACCGGCAAAAATATGCTGGGCTTAAGTTGGGCTGATTAATTAATTGCAGCTGATATCGATAGGCGTCTAGGGTTGCCACCTAGAGATAAACTGCCTCTCTCTTACCAGCACTGGCAGCTAGGGAAATGTAAACATTTAATTTATGCAACCGCTGCAGTAATTAAGCGAAAATCAATTAAGTAGACTACTTCAATCGCCTGCTCTCTGGCTCCCGCTCTTCGCAGACACACACACGTGCGTATCGGAACCGCTCTTCACATGATTTCTCGCGTAATTCCGTTGGAATTTTTCACACACAATTCTTTTTTCTTTTTTTTGCCTTTTACCTTGACGAGTTTTGTTCTCGTTGCGATTGCGTTGTATTTCAAGTTTATCACACATACATATACTGGAACACATACAAACGTACCGAAACGTGCACAAAATACACATGTTGGCCGTAAAAAAAAGCAAAATTATAGTAGACAGTTGTTTTTTTTGAAGCTCAAAACCCGCCCAAAACTTAATGGAAAATTACAGTTGTTGTCGGCGTCGCTGCTGCTTCTTCTGCTCTTTCTCTCCCTCTCGTTCACCCTCTATTGCGCTCTCTCCCTCTTCGCTATATATCCTTATAAGCACTAACAATTTTTGCTTCTCGCTCACTTTCGTTGCGCTCTCTCTTTCACTCCTTGCCTCTATTGCCTTTTTATGCACACACACACATACTCGCACGCAGCGAGACACTTGGACACACACACACGTACGCACGACTGGTTCTTTCGAGAATCGAATTATTACCGAAATTTATAATGTGCAATTATTGCGCCTCGCAATTTAACTTTGCATTTCCTATGCAGATCACAGGCCTCAATCGCCGTGCGATTGTCTCTCGCCTTTTTGCAGTGCCCCTGTCAATTTCTTTTAATTTAAAAACGACAGCGAAATTGCAATTGGTGTGCGAACACGCGACTAGCAGTGTGACCGATTCGCGATAGAGCTAGAACACATTTCGATAATGGTTCGATACTACCGTCACACACAAGGTGGTGTGTGTGCTCGCTAAAAGAAAGGTGTCCGCACGGGTACTAGGTAGTCTATTTGCTAAGTAAAATGGTCCCACTTTTATGCAAAACAAATATTTTTATGTTTAAACTAAAAACTTTGGTATAATCGTATCTATTTAGAAAACTATATAAGAATATGGGAAAAATAAATAAATATAAATATTGTCACCATACGTTTAAAGGGTATACAAGTTTGGTGTGCAATTGTTGTAGAATCGCTCATCACCATTGATTCATCAGCCCGCTCATTTTTGAGTTAATTATTATTTTTGTTTTCGCTTCTTACATGCGAAAGAATGATGAAAAAGCGAGGAATTTTAGTTTTGGGACGGCTTGTAGCGAAGTAAATCACAGGTTTAGGTTTTCTTTTACCGTTTAAGTACTTATAGATCTTGATATTAGCTAACTATGACTGCATTACAACCTGATAGCAAACGGTTTCGAGTAGATGACGAGCAAAGTCATGACATAGAGCATAATGTTCTGATTGAAAAGACAAATGGTAGCTGTATAATAGGCTGACGTTTACACTATCATATGATAATACCATTGATTGACTGATAACAATTTGATCTATTCGGATTGTAAAGTATCATCATAACTAACAATATATACGAATTTTATAATTTATAATCAAAAGTTAACGGATAAGTGACAAAATGTTGATTAGAATATGCCAAAAGCAGTATAAGTTATAAGGATTTCTTATAGAATTAAGAAAAAAAACATTAGCAAAACATAAACATCGATTGCTTTATTTTGTTATCGATGGCTCATGTTTAAAATTATGCCAAGTGTGATAATATATATAATATTAATTTGGTAAAGGTATAAAAGAAAGATGATTAAACGTAAGCTTAAACGCTTAAATATAATTTGCACTTCATGGGTTCAAAATATGACCTGAAGCTTATAACGATTATTGTCGTTCAATAAATTTATATGTTAAATAAAAAAAAATAAGCTAATAAAAATCTTTAGTTAGTATAATTACTACATTAAATCTATTTCGATAGTCATGAAGCGTTCTAAAGTGGCGACCAGAAATAAACTATCGATAATGTCCCATTCCTAATTTGCGGCTCTTCAAAAAGTGGATTTTTTAGCGAAACTGCCAACAGGTGGGGGACGGCACTCCATTCTACATTGGCTGAATCGTGGAAAGGTATAGGAAACCATGGCGCTAGCCATCAAGAAGCGTTTTGGCTCCTACGTGGAAACGGTGGATGGCTCGCCGGCGGTGAAGAAACTTCGCCTGCAAACACTGGCTGCCGATGGGAAGGGAGGAAAGGCAAGAACCGTGGAGCGAAAGCTGACGGCGCTCAACCAACTGGACGTCTATTTAAATATTATACCTTCTGGGTCGTCGACTGTGACCACTGCAACACCGTCTGTTGCACCGGGCTCTGCCTCCCTCGTCAATCCGCCTGCAGCGACGACGGGAACTTCACAATTGGCGACAGGAAATAGCAGAGAAATGCTAGAACTGTTGGTTAAGATCACCGATGAGATATCTTACGAGGATGTGGATTTTGCCGAGCTGAAGGAGGTGTCCAACAAGATCTTTCAGCTATATCAGATGCAGGAGCGCGATAGTGACACTTCCATTCGGGTGAAGTTGCTCGAACTGTTATCCGGATTGGGTTGCGAGTGTGTCACCGAGCAGGCGGTGACCCTAATCATCGACTATTTTATCTTCCTGCTTAGGAAGGAGGTTTCCCAGAAGGTGCTCGCTCAAGGCATGATGTGCCTGTTTCGGATCGGCGAGCGCAGGAAGCATCTGGTGCCCATGGCGTACAACACTCAGGTGGCCCATTTAGCCAAGGAACAATTGCGCTCTGGTTCTACGCACACACAGAAGAACGCCATGTTGGTGATGGGCCGGTACGCCACAAAAAAGGAAGGTGAGCGGCACTATGTGTGGAAGCTAGCCTTTTACATTGACTCGCAGGACTCGGGCGTCCGTGCCCAGGCCTTGCATGCCCTGCTGACACTCGGCGAGCGTGGATCCGAGCTTCCTGCCGTGCTGTACAAACGCGCTGTCGAGGCCATGAAGGATGACTACGAGTGTGTGCGCAAGGAGGCATTGCGCCTGGTCTTCATGCTGGGCAATCTGCATCCGGACTATATTATACCCTCAGACCGCCAGCAGGAGGAGTTGCGAATGATAGATGCCGCTTTTAGCAAGGTATGCGAAGCTCTGTGTGATCTTTCACTGCAGATTCGTGTCTTAGCAGCAGAACTGCTAGGGGGTATGACGGCCGTCAGCAGAGAGTTCCTGCACCAGACACTGGATAAGAAGTTGATGAGTAACCTGCGTCGGAAGCGCACGGCGCACGAGAGGGGAGCCCGTCTGGTGGCCAGTGGCGAATGGTCATCCGGTAAGCGATGGGCGGACGATGCGCCGCAAGAACATCTGGACGCCAGGAGCATCTCAATCATTGCCAGCGGAGCCTGCGGCGCCCTTATTCATGGTCTAGAGGACGAATTTTTGGAGGTGCGAACTGCAGCTGTGGCCTCCATGTGCAAGTTAGCCCTCTCACGGCCAGATTTCGCCGTGACCAGCTTAGATTTCCTTGTAGACATGTTCAACGACGAAATCGAGGACGTCCGGTTGAAGGCCATTTACAGTCTGACGGCCATTGCTAAGCACATAGTATTGCGCGAGGATCAGTTGGAAATAATGTTGAGTTCACTTGAGGATTATTCAGTGGACGTGCGCGAGGGTTTGCATCTCATGTTGGGAGCATGTCGCGTGTCTACGCAAACGTGCCTGCTAATGGTGGTGCAAAAGCTGCTGGATGTGTTGGCGAAGTACCCGCAGGATCGGCAATCAACGTACGCCTGCATGCGCAAAATTGGTCAGAAACATCCACATTTGGTAATGGCTGTAGCCGTTCACCTGTTGTACGTGCATCCCTTCTTTGAGACGCCCGAGCGTGATGTCGAGGACCCGGCTTATTTATGTGTCCTGATACTCGTCTTCAATGCGGCGGAACACCTGGTGCCCATCATTAGTCTGCTCCCCACGGCGACACATCGGCACTATGCATATCTGAGGGACTCGATGCCGCATCTGGTGCCTCAGTTGCCCATCGAGGGTGCTTCTTCGGCGAGTGCCACGCATAGGATCGATTCGGCTATGCGTCAGGCGGGCAGTTCAGCGGAGTATCTTCAGATGATCCTTAGCCACATTGAAGAGATCTTCACGATGACTGACGAGCGCGTAGAGCTGCTTCAAACCGCTCAGTCGAATCTGCAGGTGAGTACTTCCTCGGGATTGCCATTTCGTAAATAGTATTTTTACATTTTCGATATTTTTATAAAATTTAGCGCCTGGGAGCCATCGATGCGGGCATGTACGGCACATCGAACTTCCTGGAGACCTTTTTAGCGGCGCAGATCCAGATTGAGCAGATGCAGCGGTGCGCCAGCACGCAACGTAGTCGGGTACCCTTGAAGGAATCCCTGGCGGCACTCATCCGAAACTGTCTGAAGCTGCAGCACACGTTCTCTGGTCTCAATTACGGCGATATTTTGCAGGTGAAGCAGCTGCGGTTGAGGGCCTGCGCCCTGCACTTAGTTCTTGTAGTCAGGGATAGATCGCAAAGTGCCTTAGGTCCTTGTCAGATGCTCCTGCAAACTGCCGGCGATATCAGTGAGTTCATCAAGACAAATAAGAAAGACGAGGAGGATATGCCGCCGGTGGGAGCTTTGCCATTGATAGAATACGAAACGTCGAGAAAGGGTAGGGATTCCCAGCCGGATAGCTTCACTCAACAATTGCTAAGCAAATTGGATAGTATATCAGATCCAAAACCGGGTCGTGTCTTTCGTGAGATTCTGCCGCTGGTCCAGCAGGCTCCGCCGCTGGCCCTGCCACCCGCCAATGAAAAAATACGCCGCTGTGTGGCTAACATCCTGGAGCCATGTCCGTTGCAATCGCAGGATAATGTAATTAAGGTTACGGCTGGCCTAATAGCAGCTGTTCCCTTTGTAGCGGAGATCGATAATCTGCTGGAGTCTCAAAAGGCAGACATGAGGATCAAGATCAAGTATCCGGACCAACATATGCACACGGTGGTGCCAAAGCGGAGTGACTTTAAACCCATTATGACGGAGCAGGGAGAGCACGAGACAAATGTACGCCTGCGTACGACAATTCTGCTGTCGCACAGTGTTTGGACAGAGTCATCGCTGGTGGAGATCCAGTTATGCCTGGCCGTTCGCCCTGGCAGCGAATTGGAGCTCTGCAAGCCGGCTAAGGTGCTGTTCGCACCCAAACCAGTAAGACGGGGCATTTAGCCTGACTCCCAGGAGGATGAGAAAGAGTGTGTAACTGTGGGTGCAGATCTAGGTTCACGACCCCGTGATCTAGAAGCGGACCTAGTCGATGGTTCTATGAGTGGACGGCGCCGACGGCGAAGGAGCGGAGTGAAAAGCTGACAAGGCGACACAGCCGCTGGAGGATCAGATAAATCGGGGGACCGAGCAACTGTTAGTTAATTATATATATCAGTGTCTAAGATAGCAGTTGATTAAAATATGTTTCTATTTTAAAAAATTCAATTAACAGATTCTGTAGCAAAAAGCATATAAATTTTTCCAGATCAAATAAATTGTACATGAAAAGTGGAGAAAATACGTTAATTACAAAAATGAAAAAGTGTTAAAGGAAAAGTTATTGATATTAAAAACATCCTAATTTTCTTTTTTATATATAGTTTCTATAGTTTATTTCTCATTATAGGTTTTACAGCTTACACATTTTCTGATCTTTTTAGGATAGCACTTTTCCATTTGCTCATTTTGATTTTCTTTGGCAAAAGATTTTGTTTCTCCTGCTTTATTCTGATCTGGTTGTGATTTTAATATAGACGCTGCTTTCTTTTCTGCTTGTTTGTTGTATACGAATTTTTTCATCTTAAGTTTATATTTGATTCGCTAAAAACTCATTTTAAAAAAGTACTTTTTGTATTCTTGTGTTTATCATTTGTTTTTCGATTTTGTTCTGCATAATATTATTATTTTGTTGTTGTTTAGGCCTTTGGTTAGCAATAATAATCGTAATAATCATATGCAAGTAAATTGTTCAAGTTGGATATTACTGAGTGGTTAGATAAGTAGTTCTTGCTGTAAACATTTTTTCAATATGCTGTGAAAAATATACAATACAAAGACATTAATTTCCGAACCACACAAACACACACAAAAGTCGATAATTAATCGTTTATATCGTTAATTGTTCATCGTGTCTTTTTGTCTCTAGCTAGGAATCACAGTATTGTGCAAATTACCTTTTTTTTTTATTAGTTTGAAAAATGTTTGCATGTCGGTATGTTTGATTTGCGTTTGGTTTTCACTGAATTCTGAATTCCTCAAGCGGCGGTTAATAAAGTGTGTTAATGTTTGTGATTCTGTTAATGTTAATGTAAAATAGAACCCGACACAGGCAGTGCAGTTGTTGTTGTTGTGGTTCTTTTGCTACCGTTATCGATATAGATATCGCTTTTTCTGGCTCGGTCATCGAAAACGAACGATTATTTCGATTGTTCCACTGATGAACACTTTAGTTTGTTTAGTTAATACGACAAAAGAGGAAATATTAGTTTACTTTAAATTGTTTACTTTTGAGTTTTCGGTCTTCCGAATTGTTATTGACTATTTTCAGTTTTCCTTTGTTTTATTTTTGGGGGAAATCACAATATCTATGCAAAATCTTATACATCTCTCTATATGTTTTGTATATATATATATATATATCGCTTTGTCATGAACATTAGATTTAGATCGTTGTCCTCTATACTGTAAATATATATCATATATCCATATACACATATATACGTTTGTATAGCAAGTTTTGTTTGTATTGTTTTATGTAGTTCTTTTGTCATTTGTTTTTTTGTCCTTGCATGTCCTTTCTGATCTAGTTTCCTAGTCCCATCCGCTCTATACTCTTCCTCCTCGTATATATTCTGTTATATCAATCGTTGGGATATGCGTGGTGCAGGTGAATTGTGTGTGGATTGTGGATCGTTCGTTTGTCTCCCAATTTTTGTGTGGGTTCGATTTTCAGGGAGGTCTGGGTGTTTGGTTTTTACGTTTTTGGGTTATTTCGATTCGATTGAAAACTATGCGCAGAAGCCGGGGGATTATAGTTCATTATATAAGTAGCTAATTGAAATTTAACAACAAACAGAACGCAGTGCACAAAATATGAGTCATCAAATTACACGCCTCATCCTCTATCCTTTCTCCTTTCGTTTTTAAATCTATGCAAAAATTTGACTAAGCAACCCTGTATGTTCGTTAAAGACCAAATAATCATAAGCTTATTTATCCATCTAATGCACTTAATATACTGCCTAATTCGCAAATAAAACTAAACCGATTTAAATCAATGTTTCAAAAACTGAGTCCTGGTTTGTGTTTCTTGTGTGTCGATTTAAGCGCACTAACAAATATTTATACATCCTACTCGTATATTAGTAGATATATTCGGATCGAGTTTCTTACAAAGTACAAAGCATTTCTTCTTCTTTCAAAGCAGCAAAGAAGATTTTCAAAAAACATAAATTGTGTTTCTTTGTGTTTGTTTTGGTTTTTCATATCATTTATTTTATTTGTGTTTGTTTAGATTCTAATGCCACTTTGTGTGTTTTTAGTTTTTAAAAAAAATTATGAATACATCTTTATTATTACAGATATCTGGATTAAGTGGAAACCAGAGACGCAAATTGCATCTCGAGGGTTTTAACATTTTCATTTAAAATAAAAGGGAGTACCATATAGAACAATTATAGGTTGTTTTTAGGTTTTAGCTGCGTATTATAATAGGTTACAATGACCGCGACTCGTACAAGTGGGCCAACTAATTTGTTAATTAACTAATTTGCTTTACTTAAATAATTAATGGACAAAATGAAAGGATTCTGTTTAAACACTATACGCGAAAAATTGCATTAGACTATGGACGAAAATCGGAACTTATACGATATACAATATATATACGAATTGCCGACGAGGGGAATTTGTAAGTTTAGTTATTCCTTTGACTGGCTTGTTGGAAAATCTGCTCTGTTGCTCCTTTGCCTTTAAGTCTTTGATTGTGGCGAAAAGTAATCGAGGTCAAGTTGAATATTTGACTTGCTGCTAAGTGAACACATCGATATTTGGTTATTATATTCAGATAACGAGCAGTTCTGTACTGTATACTCGAATAATTGATTGCAAAATAGTCAAGGCATTATCTTCGCAATTCAGTCAATCGTTCAGTTGATCGAAGCTGCCTGATGTTTGTTGTTTAAGCCTTATATTTTGTACATTTTGAACAAATCTTAGTTTAGATTGGAATCGATATATATGTTATCCTTTCGCTATTGCCTCCATTCCCTCTCGATTCCACAATTCGCCTTGCTCTTTGGTTTCATAAAACTCGACTCGATTTCCATGTAGATATAAATCCTTGTGCCACTAATAACTAAAATGTAGTTTAGTAAAAAAAAATTATTACACAAACAGGCATCAATCATAAAATTTTCAGCTTCTTCCTTCATTTTATCAACGTTTACATTCAATTTTTGTTTTGTTTTTCTAAGCTTATACAAAAGTATTTTTGTTTTGTTTTTTTTTTTGAAAAGGCGTTCAACTGTTTGCTAGAATAATTTTATAAGCCAAAAGAAGCAAAATTATATGCTTTAAATTCATGCGAGTTTTCTCCTTCACTTTACAGTTGTTTTCTTTTTGTTTCCTTTGTTTTTCTTTTAAGTTAATTATAATGGTTTTCCTTTTTTGCAGACACTTAAAGCAGTTTTCGTTTTACACATAGAATTACACAAAGTTTTTTTTTTTTTTTTTTTGGTTTGGATTAAGGGATTTATGAATCGTTTTGAAGAAAATCAGAAGAACAACGGGGCAAATGAATCCCAGCCACGCCTCTTAGACGTAGGTGGCCACGGCACCGGCTGCAGCTCCTCCATTGCTGGTCGAGGCTCCTCCGGCTGCGGTTGCTCCGCCGGCAGATGATCCCGATGCTCCGGCAGTTGATGCCGATCCGGCGGCTCCCGATCCACCGGCAGTTGGCGCCGTCTGATGCGCCGCGGCGGAATTGTTCAGAGGCTGTGGACTAACCGGCGGCTGAAGCTTTCCAGGAACATACTGGCCGATGAAGGAGCCATCCTCGGTAAATTGTCCTGTGGTAAAAAACATATTTTCAATATTATTTTTCATATATTTTTTAAGCTCTAGTTTTTATAGATAATGAGTTTCCAATCTGTTTAATGATCTTTAACCAAGGTTTTAACATAATTGGAAGTACTACGGAAATCTCTGAAGGCTTGTAATATATTATTAAGATATGGATTGATTTCTTTAACTAATTAAAGTAAGACTACTACTTCAGGGATTTCGGCGACATTCCTCAATTATTGAAATCATAATATTATGTATAAAAGTTATGAAAAAACAACATGAAATTGTGTCTTTCCTGTGTTAGTCATTATTTTTTATAATTCATGTTAATCACAACCAACACCAGTGAGCTTTAGCTTTGGATTTATACGCGAGTTAATATTATTGTTATTCGATTAGTTTTGTTATAATTTTCGTGCCTGTTTTTAGGGATTGGGGTTTCTGGAAGCTGCAGAGGTTTGTTAAACTAAAAATACTTGACAGATCAACTACAGGTACAAATAATTTACTTAAAAGTATAATAATGATATATTCAACTTTACCTTGCAAATATGTCAGCTCAAAATGAAGATTAACCAAAACAAAGAACGTAAATGACTTCGTCTTTATCGAAATTCAATAACAAGCTTACTTTGGCATGCAATTTAATTTACTTCAAAGGCATTTTTTTTTTTAATAATTTCAAAGTCTACACGATTTGTCGTTGTTTATTATTCGGTTTTCTTTATTTTATTTGTTTTTCTTTCTAATTTAATATGCGAAAATACATCAACATATGTAAAAAATTATATTTTCATATAATTACGATGTGTTTCCCTTCATTCATTCTTTAATATTAAATACACTGAAAAAATAGACTTCTTGTATGTATACATTATAGAACACTGTTGCATTGTCCAAAATCAAAGCGAAAGTCATTACACAAACTAAAGAAAATTACAAAAAATAAAATAAAGAAATAAAAACAAAATTCACACAATTGGCTTAAATAAAGTAGTAAACATGTAAGCTAAAAGGGTTTTTCATTTCGATTTACGGCCAAAACTAAAACGGAGATTTTACATTCGAGTGTTGTTGGTTTCTTTTTTGTTTTTATAAAAAAATTATTAAATTATAACTTATTTACGCTTTATATTTATAAATATTTATGCATTACAAGTAAAAGAATGGGAAAGAGAGCGGGACAGAGATATACATAGTGCCGGGGTACAGAGTGGGACAGGTAGACATGTGCGCAATATATAGAGTAATTTTAAAAGCGAGCTTCATTTTCCTCTTAAAATTTTCTTAAATTTCTTAACAAAAAAAAAATTACACGCAGCTGCCTGATTAATGTCCAGATAAACTTATGATTTTTTTCCATTATTCATTATTTGCTTTAATTTGCATGCATTTTCCTTTTCCTCTTCTTTTTTGATAACTATTTTTCCTTCCAATGAAGAAGACTCATATTTTTTAATAGCCTTATTGCTGCATCCTCGTTGTTGTTGCTGTTGCTGTTGTCTTGTTCATGGTTGTTTGGCAGTATTGATTTGCGTTTGTTTGTTTTTTTTTTACACATTTTCTTTAAATTTTAATAGTTATATATAAAACCTCTATTTTTATATATACTTTAAATCAATCGTGGTTTTTGCACTTAATCGCATAATATTTAGTTGATACCCATTTATAGTTGGGTACAGTAGTTTCCTATTAGTTTTGAATTTTCTGCTGTGATGGTGTTTGGTCTTGTTGGTTTTTTTTTTGGGGTTTAAGGGCTCGGTTTTCGATATATTTCTTTTTGAGTTGCTGTTGCGGCGCGCTGCTTACTAATTAAATCAAAGTCCTTTGCGTCCATATTGGCCAATAAAGGATCCATCTTCGTTCATTCCTGTATTTTTTTGTTTTCGTTGTCGATTTTACATAGTTTTGATTTTATTTTATCATTTTACGTGTTTAGGAAAAAGAAAAAAAATAATAGAAATATAAAATATAAATACAATTTTGTGCAATAAATAATAATAAATAATATGAAACATATAAACAAGAAACACATAACAAGAAACACAAAGTATGTATGTAAACTGTCTGAAATGCTTTTGGTATTATCCTCGATCGATCGTGCACATGAAAATCGATTTCCATCGATATTCTCGATAGATTGGCACCACTTGTGAAGATCATATGAATGTAGATTCTCTTTAGTGAGAGTTGTTAGTATTAAAAGAGAACGAACAATCAACAAACTGAAAAGGAAAAGCAACATCGTGCAGAGATCAATGAATCCATCTAGAGAAAGCAAAAGCGCAGGTGCGGCTTTATAACGGCAAACGGCTCTCTTCGGTTGGCTGGAAGGATTGGGACAGAGCCTTGAACTTCATGCAGCATTTTGGAAGCGGCAGAAATAAAGAGAGGGCGACAATTACAGCTGCGGTCAAATTATAGCATTGACAAGCCAAATGGGTAAGAGCACTTAGGTATAGGTATTTTCTGATTGAATTCTAAAGATTATAAATATAAGGTACTACTGTATAGTATCAAAGTGAAATCATAACCAAATTAACAATTATGATTTCTTTACACAAGTACCAAGAGTTGTATTATTATATCCCTTTTTAATGCTATTAACGTAACAAACCCTGTATTGCCATTAAGCTCTCTTTTTAAAGCGCAAGGAAACGAAAGAGCCGTACAGGAAACAGGCAGCCAAATGAATTAAGGAGGTGGAAGAGCTACCTGACTGATTGGATAACAAGAACAACAATAACGTCGGATTGGGGGAGAGAATCCAAAGCTCTCTCATTTTTGCTCCACACTCTCTTTTAGGCTTGGCGCTGCTCAGCATCCGCCATGCAAATTTCGTATGAGGGTGGGGCAACGCTGCCGGGGGAAGGGGAGGAGATGGAAGTTGGAGTGGTAGAGGACGAGGACGAGGCGAGTGGTTGGAGCGATGGAACAGTTGACGCCGATGTTGACGGCGACTGAGGCAGTGATGGCCTTTGCTGTTGTAGTTGTTGTTGAGCTGATGTTGGCAGCGACGTCGACTTGCTACGGGCTGCGGCAGCGGCACGAGCGGCGGCAGTGGCCACAGCTGATCATTATATCCGTTTTCATATTTCATATCGAACACACAATCGTCATCAATGTGATTAAACCAAAAACAAATGTGGCAAAAGAAATCAAGAGAGTGAAAAAAAAAACAACCAAAGAGAGACAGCAAAAACGTAATGAGGGGCTTGTGAGGTGCTAAACGTAACCCTTGAAGGATAACTGTTAACTGATACGGTATGATTAACCAACGGTAATGCAGCGTTTTTAAATACTTAATAAACCTATCACTATCTAATCTGTAACTGTAAAGTACAACATGCTTCTATAAAAAATATGGCAAAATAAGTATTTTGAAAAGTTCTCTAAGTTTAACTTCGTAGGATTCTTTACTTCTATCTACTGTTTTAGTGAGTAAAAATGATAAAAAAAAAAACACTTTAAAACATTCCAAACGCAGCATTACCGTTTTTCATGATAATCAGATGATATACTCTATATAATCGATAATTGTATGATATATGATAGCTTGCTCGATATATATTTGTATATAAGAAAAAATCTAACCTGTGTCGCCATCACCGTATTCGGCCATCGAATCGGTGTCGCTTTCCACGCCGGGTTTGTTCGCTGAACTCACGGATTGGCGACCAGCGCTCTTGTTATCCAACCTGAAATTGAATGTAAATCCATTAATCGACTTGTTATTAATATATCCCTTTTCTTTATATAAACTTACGGTTGCGAGTACTCGTGGAAGCCACCCTCTTCGGGATAATCTCGCCGGCCGTTGGCCAGCTCCCGATCGTGGACATCGTACTTGCCGCCCCGATTGCGCCGGATGATGCAGATGATGATGAACAGGATGATAATGAAGGCCAGGGCCAGCATCATGCCGATGAACCATCCGGCATTGGCCACAGTCTCGTTGGCCACCATTATCGGACCTTCAACGGTGTTCGTGTCGATCTCCTGCGTTTCACTCTCCGTATTGAAGTGACCATCTACGGAGACTACTCGGAACTCGTAGGCGGTCTCCGGATCTAAACCGCCCACTTCCTGGTAGACGGAGTTCTTCTCCTCATTTTCGCGGATCCACTGGGTTTCGCCCTTAATCCTGAATTTGGAAATATGATTAGAAAAGTTTCAATATAGCCAGCTAGATAAGTACCTGTGCATGGTGAAGAAATGTGTGCCCGGATGACCTACTGTACTTGGCAGCCAGATGATGCGGAATTTGGCCAGACCGTTGTCGGATGGCAGTTGCTCCCAGGAGAAAGAGGGCGTGGCCGGTACCACATTGATGGCGTCCTTTAGAGTTGTCTTCTCGATATAGTGCCTAAGAATATCGTAAGATATAGTAAGTATAAGAAGAATACCCATAATTCAGATACACTTACTCAGATCCCTCTCCCATTTTCGTGGTGGCCGTGATGGAGATGCGATACTTGGAGTTGGGCTTCAAGCCGGCCATCTTCATTCGTGTGACCCTGGGGTCGGTGATATGAGGATCGTATTCGCGTCGCTCGCCCACATAGCTTTCCTTAACCTCTTCGTAGTAGATCTTGTAGCCGGTGAGCTTGCCATTGGGGTACAGGGGCTTCTTCCACTGGAGCATGAATGCGGAGGAGCCAAGGGGGTAGGCATCCAATCCTTGAACCGGTGATGGCACACCCTCTGGGGTATCGAAATCGATGACGGCACTTGGTGGTCCATTGAAGCGTCCATTGTAGGCCAGAATGCGGGCAAAGTTCTTAGAATCTGGCTTGAATTGGGTGACCAAAGCATTATGGGTATCGCCCTTTACGTGGATCTCCCTCAGACCCTCTTCGCCCTCATTCTCGGTCCATGTCTGGATCTTGTAGCCCTTGAAGTGTCCCCTCACCGATTCCTCCGACACCGGTGTCCAAGCCATGTAGCCACTGGTCGAGGATGTGATCTGTCTCATTGTAAAGTTGGTGGGAGCATCTAGTGGACGATCTTCTCCGGAGTAGCCAACCACTTCCTGAGCGGCCACATTAGACTCGCCCCTATCGTTAATGGCCACCACCTTGATCAGATATTTGACGAATGTCGGTTGATCGGCGATGACAATGTTATTCTGTCGCCAGTCGAAAATGTTATTGTTTTCCCATCCGGCAGCGGGGATATCACGTTTCCAGCTCACATAGTAATGGAAATTGGGTGCATTGTGCTCGATCTCTGGCATGGGAGTCCATGAGATGACCAGGTTGGTGGGCTCAGTGCCCTGACCAACGACATTGTCGGGATTCTTGTATGGCACATCTGGCTGGGTGGTGCAACTATCGCTGTGCGGCGATGGCGGTGAGGCTCCGATCTTGTTGAAGGCAATCACACGGAATGTGTAATTGGCCCACGGTGACATCTGGACAACGAACGAGGAGTCCGTATTGGGCACCTTCTCGTAGGCAGCATCCCAGGAGGCGGGCGTGAAGGAGGTATTGAACTGGATGGTATAGTGGAGGATAGGTGAACGATTGTCACCCTGGGGTTCCCATTGGATCGCAGCCTTGTCGGCCTGACAGAGAATACCCGTGAGTTTTGGGGCATTAGGGACATCCTGGACAATCAGATTCGCCCTAGCCGTGGCTTCATCTAAGCGCGTCCTGGCCACACAAGTATATTCGCCGGAATCCAGTTCCATGGTCTTGGCAATTGTCAATGAATTATCGTTGGTCTTCACGAACCGCGGCTGGGCTTCAAAGTCAATGGACTGACCATCCTTCCACCAATCGATCTCAATTTCCAAGGTATCATCGTGAGCCTCGTTACAGCGGAATGTAGTCGATTGTCCGGCGGCCACTTCGTAGTTCTGCGGCTCCTGAGTGATTCTTGTATGCTCCTTGACCACCAATGAACCATCAGCTTGGATTTCGCCAAACTTATTCTGCGCATGACACGTATATTTGCCAGCATCCGAGAATGTTACATCCTGGATCTCTAGATCACCGTTTGACTGGACATTGTAACGTCCTCCAGTCAGCCAGTTGCTGGACCTCAACCATCTGACCAACGGCTTGGGAGAGCCATTAACGCGGCACTTAATAGTGACATTCCTGCCATCCACACTGGCCACAGCCGAGGGAGCTTCCGAGATAGTTGGCGGCTCAGCCTGGACATTTAGGTAGACATCCTTGTAAACATAGCCCAAGGAATTGGTGGCGTTGCAACCGTAGTTACCAGTATCTCCCTTAACCAAATTAATGATTCGGATTGTATTGTCCGTAACTGTTCGTCGGGGATTCGGTGGACTCTGCTCGATCGGCTTGCCGTTGTGGATCCAACTGATCTTTGGCTCTGGGTCACCAGCAGCCCGACATTCGAAGGTAACTTCCTCGTCCTCGGCAGCGGTGGCAATTTCGGGCTCTTTGGTAAAGTACGGCACGGAATTAACATTCAAGATGATTGAGAAGGACTGGGCATTGCCCACACCGTTGGAAACGTCGCACGTGTATGTACCAGCATCTTCGAAGTTTGTTTGCCTAATGACCAGGGATTTGCCGTAGTGTCCTTGTGTAATGCGGTCGCTCCATTGTATCGGCTGGCCATTCTTGGTCCAAACGGTTTGCGGCAGCGGGGTGCCACCGTAGATGCAAAACAGTTCCATTCGCTTGCCGCGTAGGGCCAAAGATTGGCGACGTGACACATACTGGCGGACAGGCGGATGCTTATTCTGAGAGGCACTCACACCCATCTGCTTAACATCCAAAAGCACCTTGTTGCCAATCTTGTATTCACTACGGAACACCGAGGTGGCCGAACAGGCGTAGTAGAAATCATCACTGGCATCTTCACGTGTAACATTCGAGAACCAGAGATTACCCTCGGGATCCAGGGTCATTCGGGAGCTGTTAATCGATTTAATGGTGGCATCCAGGGACTCCAGGATCATCCAGTTGACCGTAGGACTAGGGAAACCATCGGGTGCCGCACACTTCAGCATGAAGGGCTCACCCTCGACGGCCTCGAAAGTTTTGGGCGATTCATCCTTGAAGGCATTCAATTCAGCCTTTCGCACATACACCGAATTCGAGGTGGCCGTTCCAAATTCATTGGATGCGAAGCACTGGTAGTGGCCACGATCCTCGTCCTTGGGTATGGTAATCACCAGGGTTCCACGACCAGGCTGCCGCAGCATTCGGTTGTCGTACGCCTGCCAATCAAACTTCTTGCCGTTCTTGATCCAACTATATCTGTAATTGGATAAAAAGACAGAACAGAATCTTAGCAAATGTATCTTTGGATGTTGGCTAAAAAGTTTTACCAAAATTGTGGAAACATTTGAAGTAATTTCTATTACATCTTATTGCCTCGGCACATTCATTAATCGAGATGTGAACTTATCTAATCCCATGCTTATAAACCTCATTTCCCGCCCGCCAGTCGACAGTTTTCCGCATTTCCTAACTGGCAATCGACTCATTAAGATCCGAGACTCTCTAACAAGTTAATTTCCACATTTAATTTCGCTTAATCAACATTTCTAAAGGCGGCGAGCAAAGAAGAAAATTAAGACATTTTTTATGCACAAATTATGACAACTTGCTTAATTTCCAATTGCGAAAAAGTTGCTGATTGAAGTGTGTATGTGTGTGTGTACGTGCGGAGGGGATGGTTTATTGAGGGGGTGGCAGATTTTTCTTCTTGTTTCATGTCTCAAGTAATTGCAATTAAGCGGCAAAAAGGAAGTCAACGAGCTGAGCCCAGTTTTTGCTGGTATATTATTTAAGTTTTTTTTTTATCTTGCTTGCTTGCTTTTTTGCGGTGTCTTTTGTAACTGTAACTATGCCAGGCATATATCTATATCAAAGTTTAGTGATTAATATAATAAATCTTTGTCTTGACTTCGCAGCTAAGTAATTGCATTCCTTTACACTTTATAACTATTATTATTTATCCTTATTACCTTACTTAGTTACAGTTCAGTTTCAAAATACTAACTACTATTACATTCACCGCAATTGTGAATAGTTATAGGCTTTTGTATATATATATCTATATATATAAAACTGAAAGGCTCAAGTCAATTATGCGGACGAGCCGCGCTGCTTGAGCTTGTTAAGCATGTTTTTTTTTTCTTATTTAATTTTCTTCTCTTTGCCATACTTGAGCTGTATTTTCCAAAGTATTTCCCCCCTCATTCATCTCCCTCTCTCTTCCCATCACGGATCTTTTTTTCGGTTCGGTCTTGACAACGGGTCATGCAATAGGTCAATCATTTGAATTGTTTTTAAGTGTTGTAAGTTGAACTGTGAAGAGAACTCGCTCTGCTGAGGGCAAGGGGAGATCGGTGGGTTTGTTGAACTCCAGCCAGAAGTGACTCAACTGATTTCATGGTATGCAGATTAAGAAGTTAGCTTTTAATTGACGCTCTGCTCCAATTAGTTTTTCAAGTTTTCTCTGTCTACTGCATTAATTAGAATAAAATACTTTATTTGGTTTAGGTTAATAAGTTTCAAATTTACTTTAAATTTAGTCTCGAAGAAGACGTGTTAATTGTGTGCCAATGAAAAGTGAATTGTAAGTGCTGGCCAACCCCTTTTTTCCGGGGTCAAAAAGTCAACCAATGAGACGGCGAAATACCAGGATTTTGATACTATCATGACACGTGCATAAGGGAAACCCCTCTGAAAAGCTAAAACTGTTACCAATGACACATTAAGCCATCGCACCCTTCGACAAACTCAAAAACTCCAAACTATGCAACCAAACAACGGGTCAATAAATTGCCGACCAAATGGCCAAGTGGCAGGAAAGTCAGCATGGAGAATACAGAAGATAGCAGGGCTCGAATGGATAGCAGGATAACAGGATATTAGAATACCAAAGGACCAGGATAGTGGCAACAAAGGCAGTCAAGCGGTAAAGCACAAAGTCTGTCGCCATCGCTCGACACCATCTACCTTGTAGTTTTACCGTTTGCCAGCGAAGCGGTCACCTGAAACGGTTGCCAAAGACAACAACAACAACAACAACTAAATAGCCAGACAACAGCTGCTTGGACACGCCCTCAGCGACAACGCCCGCTCAGTCACGCCCCCAGGAATTCGCCCATTTGCAAGTTGAACGATTTGTACATTTATTCTTATGACGTATTTGCGGGGTATCGCCTCCTCGAAAGGGTATATTGAGTTTATAAAAAGTTAAAGAAATTCCATATATTTTAACCAACTTTCTATAGATTAACCAGGGTATCTGAATCTTCTTTATCTGATTTGATCTGGCTTTTCTGTCTGTTTTTTAAGTTGGTATTTTTTTAAGCAGCTGCTGGTAAAGTCTCCTAGCTCGACACCACTTAACCCCAAAGTGCACTGATAGTTTTAGGGTTGACTTGGCTTCACTTAACTTGGCCGCCCCCTTTTGCCAGTGCAACCGAAAACCCCCCTCTGGCATTTTCCCAACCCCCTACTACAGTTTGTTTTTCCTGCCTTTTCAGTCAGCAGCTGCCTTTGCCAGCCTTTCATAGCGATAGAAATCCGTATGGAAAATGCGCCAAGAAGTGCCAGGATATGGCTCCTGATGACTCATCAACCCGGCTAAAACACACAAACACACACACACACACACACACGACGCTTCTTTGCATAATTGTGGGTGGAAAGTTGGAGGGGTGGGTGTTTGGCGGTTGAGCTCCATTTCTGCATTACTTTTTTGGGGTTGCAAAATAACAAAATGCCGTAGCATACTTTTTTGCGCGTTCGCTGACAAAGGGAAGTGGACACAGGGAGGGCATATATATATGTATAACCCAGTTATATATATATAGCTATACACGTTTTCATAGCAGACATACACACACAAGCATTTAACTAGGATTACTTAAGATAAACATGATATGGTAATGATAAGTGATACAGAAATTTATCACAAATTAAAAAATACAATTTAAAATCCATCACATCCTTTCAGAATTTAAATTGTAAGGCAAATGTTTTTGAACTACTTACTAAATCCACCATAAGCTTTATTATTTTGACCACAATTGTGGCTTTGCCATGGCTATAAGTAAAAGGAAAGGAGCCGAGCCAAAACCGCTTTTAGCCAAAGGGAAAAGCTCTTAAAGAGTGGGAAAACCGAAGGCAAAAATGGGCGTCTGGGAGGCAGACGGCGAGACAGTGGACAGAGTGGAGGGGGTTTCAGACCAAAGTTAAACAAAGCCAGCAAAAGGAAGGGCCAAAATGAGTATTAGGTCTAAGAAAGAAGCCGCATCCTGCACTTAGCCGCAAATAATTATACCCTAAGCAACAGGTTAAAGGGCCAATACTATTATTAGCCACAAAATAATATATTATATTAACTGATATATAGATCTATAGCAGCAATGCATTAATCGATTATTATTTTAGTCTAATTAGTTTTCACCTCCTTGCAACTACCTACATTTTTGTTAATTTATACATTTTTTATGGCTCTCCCTAGTATTTTCGCTTAGAGAACATTTAAATTAATTAGCCATTTCTTGTATTTCATTACCCAAATTAGTCACGTTTTCCACATTCCCATGAGACTTAGGGTACATTGCCTTTTGGCTTGGACTTCTTTCCGAATTAATTCCGTGAATTTTGTCGGCGGCCAAAAGGCAAAAAACTTTAAATGGCCTCCGGGTTGCTGTTTCTTTTGGGAGGGGTTGGAAATAGAGGAGCTGCCGACAAGGGTTGGCCCAAGGACCAAGAGTCCGTTTTTCAGCTCCTGGCAAAGAACAGCAGAAAGCTTTTTCGGCTGCTATCAAATCGGGAAAATCCTAAAAGAAGAGAAAGAGAGAGGTAGAGGAATTCGCGGGAAATGGGGCGTGTTTGCCCGTCTTCGTCAGTTTTGTTGACATTTTATGCATGTCAAACGTGCAATGACACCGAAAAACACTACAGTGAAACTTCAACAACTTGAACAAGTATACAAACAACTTTTACGTGAACTCACGAACTTAAATTTCACCGAAAACTTACAAATTTTATCAACTCTTTTGATGTTTTTCTTACAAATATTGGAAAGCAAAGTAGTTCTCTACAATCCTCATATAAAGCATGGTCTGTATTTCGTAATAATAAAAAAAACAGGACAACGGGCGGAAGCGGGGCAAGCGGAAGCGTCTCCAAGGTATCAACATACTATAACAACAACACGAAATACGTAAATAGGACATTGGACAACCTGAATGAAACGCGGGGGAACCACCGCTCATTAATGGCCAGCAAACATGCAAACAACAATGTTTTTTTTATAGTTCGATGGAAGTACCGAAAAAGGAGCAGCAGGAAAATGCAGGAAAAGAAAAGGGGCGACGGCAGGCAGGTGACACCCGAGCTGTGACCTCTGGCATGGCAACAGTTGATGGATGGGCCCAATAGTGCGAGCGGGTACGAAAATTAGGTGTGACAACGAACCCAGGGGAAAAGTAAAGGTACAACTCTAACTGGGGAAAATCTCGTGGGTCTCAGGCAGGCAGGCAGGTAGGCAGGTCCACCCACCCAACTAACTGTCCACTCTAATGAAGTTAACTAAATCATTCCACTTTCGTGTAACAAATTAGTTAATTCCATGAATTTATATATGCCTTCTGCATGCAAGACCAGGATGTTGTTTTAGTTTTAAATTTATTCACTAATCTACTAAAAACGCGAATGTCTTGCATAATTTTTGTCACTAGTTTTTAAAATACTTATTCAAAACTTATGTTCATAGCTTTATAGTTTAGCAAACAAATAAGTTTAATAGATTTTGATATCATGTAAGCCTAAACTTGTGCTCTTTTATGCTTTCCTTGGGCTTGTTGATTAACTAAAAGAATAAAACAAAATACGGAAAGAAAAAAAACAATTGACATTGTCGTGCCCTTCTGTTGGGTTGCCCAATCTGTTTTTCCATCAGCCGAAAATTACAGCAAGTGAAATCAAGAAAAAAAAAAATAAGAAAAATTACAACAGACACGCAGTAGCATTGGGGAACCGTTGTCTGAATCACCGGAACACATTGGGGCAATCGTGAAGATCTTGAGAAGTCGAGACGAAATTAGCTGCTGGCGATCGGTTTCATGTCGTCGAGGTTGCTCAAGTTCAAGTGGACTTCATATATCTATATTTCTCCCTTGCGTTTCCCACTGGCATTTCTCTGGATTTTACTCATCATACCAACGATGTCAAATGTCAGTTATGTCAGTCTTTCAATGCGTTTTCAATTGCAATTACAGCACATTAAG